TTTGTGGGTTGTGTATGTGATATGATAATTTAAGTCTTAAAAGGTTGTCGCGTGACTAAGTAGAGCAAAAAGGTATTTTTAATTTAAATAATTATATAAACTTAAAAATATACATCTTGGTGTAAAAAAAAATCATAAAAATAAAATAAAAATACCCACAAACTCAAAAAACAGACCAAAAAATTTTTTTTTAAAAATAGAAATTATATTTTTAAGTATTAAAAAAATTAATAATAATAAATAATTAAAAATTCCAAAATATAAATATATCTTAAAAAAATCACAAAAATTATCCCGATTAACGAAAATCATTTTAAAACGCAGCCATAAAATTTTCAAAGTAAAAAAAAAATGTTTTTTGAATGTCTATGTCTGTTTTCCTATAATATCACTAATTTTGGCTTAAAGTAATTATAATAATTGAAATATAAATCCAAAAAATATATAATTTAGCCTAGTGAGTTCCCCGAGGTCACGGGCACTTAGACTAAAAATTTAATTAAAATAAAAGGTTCATTTTTTAGCATTTAAAAATAATTAAAATAATAAAAAAATATAAAAAATCAAAATATCTCATCACCAAATTTTCCTTGATCAAGGACAGTAACTTAAAAATGCTTTCCTGAATTTTTAAAGGCTAAAAAATGTATTTTGAATACTTAATACTATTTATCAATGTATTTATAATTATTCACTAAAATAATTATAATAAATAAAATAAAAATCAAAAAAATATAAAATTAAGTTTGTTGAACTCGTTTATAAGATTTTAGACATTTTATAGGACATTCGAGTCTATTATGATTTATTGAAGGAACTCATCACCACAACACAATAATCAAACATAACATAACAAATGAATTCCTTAAGGAACCACCAAGGTATGATTCAAGACCCGATAATTCACACAAATAAATAGAAATACCCCAAATTACTCATTCTACATTAATGATCCAATGCTTAAGGATTTGAGTCTTCTCTAAGGCATTTAAATCCTTGTGAGAAACTGAGGATATTTGTTTTTGCCGCATATGGATCATCGGGTTTATGTAAGTTTGAGGTCTAGGTGACTAGGGTGATGACGATAATGCTTATGTGTGCTTAAACAAGGGATATAATGTGGGATTATCAGAATAGTGTCTCTTACCTCAAGGATTCCTGATAAGGGGAGAGGATAAGGACCGATGATACTATTCACTAACTCTTGGTGAGATTGTCGTCACCGACACTCTTAGGTTGCTAGTAGTCTTAGTTTGATTAGGGTAATTAACCCGTGGACTACACTATTTTATGAAATATTTTAAAACAAAATTTATTTTGCAAAAAAATACATTTTTCTTGCTAAATAAATCCTACATGCATGAAAATAAAAAATCAGAAAACAAAAACCTTATAAAAGTCCACAGTTAATTACTTGGATCTAGGTTAGGACTGCCCTCCATGGATTATCGGGTTGGTAGCTCTTACTCAAGGTTGGGAAGCACACAGTCTAGCTCTGAGCCCCCCACCTTTATCAATGTCTTACACCCACTCCCAGTCTTCCATATGTGACTACAAGTTTTCTTTTACTTGCTTGTGTTTTATTACGACTCGTTTTCTGACTTTTTTCTCGTACCAGATGCTTCTGTTTACTTTCTTGTAGTTTATTTAAATTTCGTGCAAATATATTATGCATTATGATACTAACCATGCAGCGATAGCAGAAGCTCAGACACGTTTTTATTTTATGTACTGCATTCTCTTTTTATTTACTTTACCACACTTTATTTTTTTAGTACCTTTTATTTATTCTCAATTTACCTTACTTGGCATGCAAATCAAAACCAAAACCAAAACCAAAACAAAACAAAACACAAAGCAGCAACAAAACTTGACATACACACTGCAAAACTATAAAACCTTGAACTGCAGAACTACTGCGATAACGAGGACTTCAGAGCCAACTTCGTGGGCAGCTAGTTCAAGACCTTTCTTTAGTTTAAATAACAATTCTTAGGATTCCGAGGCTATCTTTTATGACATAAAACCTCTCTTTTTGTTAGGCTCCTGCATAGTTCCGATATGCAGCATGTTCTAACTTGTTTTAGGTTTCTGAGATAGTCACTCGACGTAAAACCTCTTATCTTTCTAGGCTTTTTTGTGTAAATCATCATTACTCAAATCTAAGCCCTAATTAATAAAGCTGGCAAGAGTTAACTTAAATTAATATCATCCTAAATTTAGTCAAACATTAGGATAATTTGGGGGATTACCAAGAACCTATTCTGCATCTTTAATCCCCCTAATTTTCTTTCTTTGATTCTTAAAATAAAATCTTTCACCTTTGAACCAATCCCTATTGAAAATTACACAATCATGTTCGTTGAAAACCCTTCTTTTGAATTCATGAAAATAAAACATTCTTGATTTTTATCGAGAGTTTTCTTAAGTGATCCATTCGCTTAAGATGTAATTAACTATAGGGGCTTGCCCTTATAGGGAACTTAAAAGAACCCAAACTTAAAATAAACCCTATTTGACTCCCATATAGAATAGGGGAATCTGTCGGTCATCATGCAAACTTGTAGATCAAACAGAAGTCATTTATTTCTATAGTTTATTTTTATTATCAAGTTGAGCTTATTATCAAGTAGTGTATTACCTTTCAGAGTGGTACATTACTCGTGGTTATCTCGATTATCCAAATTGTAGGAATCAATGAGATCATTTTGACCTCATTTTATTTAAATTAAAATACCTAATATCTAAAAATTATATTACATTAAACTAAACCTCATCCAGCCGTATGGCGACCGACAATTACGTCGGGCTGGCGACGTTAAACCAAGCGCTTTGTGGGAGACAACTCATAATTATCTGCGTGTTTCTGTTTTGAATGTTATGTTGTTGTGTTTGCTTAAGAAAATTTTGATAGTATATTGAATATATAATGATTTAGTAATGATTCTAAGACCTTAATAGATAATTAGAGATGTCAGAATGAGTATTTGGATGTTAAATCAAAGAATATGACATAAGAAAGGAGAAGGAGAGAGAAAGAGAGTAGAGTGTATAAAAATGAACAGTGGAATGGATTTTCGATTAGCCCTTACTAAAGAAATGACTCTTCTATTTATAGAAGAGGGGGGAATAATGTGCATAATTAAATGCATACCCCTGCTTTAGTGGGGGCGTTACATAGTATTTGAAGTATTTTTTTTATAAATGAGTCTATGGCTCAACTATCCTATCACTCGGTTAGCTGAGATCAGTGGGCCTTTGTTTGACAAGACTCGTTCATGCGATTATGCTGAGTTGTGGTCGGCTTCTGATGATCTTCAATTTGCTCGAATTTGAATCAGTCGATTTGATTATGCGGGTTGGTTGCTCTAGTCCACTTGTTCACTATCGACCCCTAGATGAGGAGTTTCTGTTGCCAGGATGAAACTAGGTTGTCGGGTAGAAGATGAATCATTGTAATCTGACATGGAGCTCACCCCTTGATAAATGATCCTTTGGTGTGTTCATGGGGTCTTTCTTGGTGACTCTCAACATCCTGATGAAGTATCTCGGAAGCTCTTATGAGATGATTGATGATGTTGGGGTGAGAGTTGGGTGGCTGCCTTATCTCGACTCGATATATCTTGGTCTTTGGTTCAGATGGCTTGCATTCGGTCGACTTCGGGTCCTGATCAAGGCTTGGTCAATCATTTCCCTTTATCTTCTAGTGAAGAAACTTTTGTGGGCCCTTCCTGACCGCACTTTCATGACACTTAATCTGTTTGATTTCTTCAAGCTTCATGTTAACACATTTTTGATATACACACATTAAATAAATTAATAGGTTTAGCATTAAGTATAATTATAATTATAAATCTTGGCCATTGTGTTTTTATAATAATATTAATTATTAATGCTGCGAAGGCAAAATCTCTGAACCCCTTCCATTATTAGGCTTCGTTTGAGGAAGCGGTACAACTTTGTTCTGATGGGGAGAATGCCAACGAAATGTATGGCTTCCATTTGGTACAGTAGCGTCAACAAAAGTTGTCGAACGAAACATCACATTATCTCCATTTCAAATCATAATATTCCTATAGCTCTTTTCGGCATACTGCTCCATTCAACGATTTCACAAATAAAAAAGTCATTCGATCACCATAAGTAAATGCAGAAGAGCTGGTGACACAAAGGAAACCGAAACTCTAATTTCTTTCGTGTTAGAAATCTTCGCCTGCTCCAGCTAAAGATGGAGAAGAAAGTTGGGCGATGATTTCAAGAATGCAGGATATATTTCTAAATAAAAGATATTTTAGTAATTTTGGGTTTGAAAAACCATCATTAATCAAACTACTTGTTATCAGTAAGAAATAAAACTTTGTATCCTTGTTTATAAAAAGCTACGTTTAAAAGGGCTTTTCTGAACGATGAATTATTCCCAAACAAAGCCTTCGTGTTTTGTTTTTAAATTCGCTCAAATCTTGTGAGTTTTGACATGCCACTTTGTCCAGTTACTGTTACACTGCTCGTAAATAATCTTTATTTGATCTTGTTTTTTGTTCACCGTGGTAGATGCACTTTGATGGTTTGGTCATATTAAACGTCGACCATTAGATGATCCGATTAGGAGAGTAGATGTTTTAAATTCGACTTGTGTTAAGAAAGGCAGAGGTAGACCTATGAAGACTTGGGCTTATTGTATTAAAAATGATCTTAATTTACTAGAACTTAATGAAAATATGACACTAAATATGACGCAATGGAGAAAAAGGATTCATGTAGCCGACCCCACGTAGTGGGATTAAGGCTTTGTTGTTGTTGTTGTTGTTGTTGTGGTAGATGCACTTTGAGAAGAAAAAATTATTGCATACATACACCGCATGCAGAGATGCATGCGGTGATAATCTACAATCATGCTGCAATTAAAATTTTTTTGAAAAAAAAAAATAAAAATAAAGTGAGGCCCACGAACCGTAGATCACCGTGATGATCAGGATGAGACGACGCATATATATCTCCATTCTGCATGCGGTGTATGGATGTATTCGTTGAGAACAGAGCGGCATGGCGCTCGGAGCTGCAATTCTCGGCAGCTCTCAATTCCTCTCTTCTCCGCCATTCTCGTTACGGAATTCGCACCCGACTTCCTCCTCACCGATTTCGCTCCGAAACCCCAAATCCTGGAGGTCCATCGGACGTTCTAGAATTGGCAAAAGCTGTCGTCCTCAGGGCATCTGTGGTGCGGCGTCTTTCCTCTCAATCGATTTACTATTTTTTGTCGTGAGTAGGAAGCGCTGGATTCTTCTTCTTATTAGATATTGCCACGATTTAAATTCCCGCTTGTAATCGATAAGAGACGGCTAGTATAATGAATCAAATACTAGTTAGGAATATCCTTTTTAGTCAGATAATTGGTCGGCGGTGCTTCTAATGTTGTAAACGGAGATTCACGTTTACGGAACTTGGTTGCGAGCTCATTATCTGATGGTTTGAATAATGCACTCAAGATATTTGATGAATTGCTTAAGCCGTTTAAGCTTTTTTGGACCTATGGTAGTAGATGGATCTAATGACTACCTTTGAAAATGCACAATGTTGCCAGACTTATTTACTGAAATTTTCAGAACAATAAATAGTATTCTCAAAATGAATTTATCTCGTTGAAAATGCTTGCCCTTCCATAGAAACTAACATTTATACAATGTGAGATGCATATTTTGCTCTTTTTTTAAGCACATCTTGTTCGCGCATGCACGGGTAGAGCTTTCCTAAGCTTCGCTTTTTAAGTCAATTTATCTTTAAGAAAGAAGGAAGCTTGCCAAGAAGTTACTTACATTTTCCAATTGAACAATGAGGGTCTTGTTTTTGTGAACTAGCCCGGAAAAGACACAGGCATGTATAAAGTATGAAAACTAACCATTCTCTTCTTGAGCTATCAAGCATAAGCATTGTTCGAGAGAGCGGCTGATGAAGAAGGTTATTAAGAAATGGCTTAGGGTTCTTCTAAGTTTCATCTGTTAGTGGTCCATTGGTTCTCTATAGGACTGGTTTCTTAATTCTATTTTCTTAAGAACGAAATCCTGCCATAAAAAGCCATGTTTATTTTCCAATTGAACAATGAGAGTATAGGTTCTAGCCCAGAAAAGGGACAAACATGTATAATGGTCATGTAACAACCATTCTCGCCATTTCTATGAAGAATAAGTATGGGGATCAAGACATAACTCCCAATTTTTTAGGAAGAGGCTGATCTATGAACTAGTCACTGTAAAAGGTTTAGTTTAGGGTTAGGATAAGTAAGGCAGTTGTGCTCCATTCCTTTTAGCTAAATATTTATCGACTAGGCATCAAATACTAACAAAATAGACAACTGTTGAAGTAGGCCAACAAATTTGTTCACCAGTTTCGATTCTTTTGTTTTATAACCTCTGTCTAACTTGGATAGAAGACTAAACCTTGAAACAAGGTATTCTGTATGCATCTTGTAGAGTTAGGGATCTGCACAACCATATTGGATGTGCTTTGATTGTTATAGAGAGAATTTTTTTTGGTTTTCTGATCAGGTGTCTTTACCCTTCGCTTCATTCTTGAAAGCTTTTGATAATGACTTATTTCATATTTTTCCAAATATCTCATATTTTTGACAATTACAATCATTCATTGGCTTTATTACCAAACTTGGCTTTAAAATAATGGTGTTTCACCCAACTTGGTGTTAAATTTTATTACAAAATGCATAAGTGGATACTGTGATTTCATGTTATTCTTATATGTTTTATTTAGCGTCACATTACTTCATAACAAATAGAGAAATATATCTTATTTATTTCTTTGCCAGAGATTATGGAACTTCAGATTTCATGGAACGTAACACTTAACATGGAGTTTGGTTTTTATATTTTTTTTTACTTGTATTTGATTTAGTGCCACCCATGATGAGTCAACTAAATTATAGGTTGCTAATAAAAGTTAGATACTTTGTGATTTATATCTTAACATGTTGGAAGGAAAACTAAATGGAAACCATGTAGTAAACTAATTTTTGTTTGCTACTTAGTTTTTCAGTTAAATTAATGTGTAGCGGCATTTTGCTTTAGCTAGCCGAAGAATTAAAAGCTCATAATTAAAAATAATTCATGAAATGACCCAAACCATCAAAATATTTGTATAGTTTATTATCATAGAAATATAAACTATCATATAATAAGAAAAAGAAAAAAAATCTCATCATTAAATGTCAATGTTGAATAAAATTTAACTTAAAAAAATCATAAAATAAAAAATAATCTATTAAAATGATATAAGCATTGATATATTTATTTATTTCATTGTCATAAAGGCACAAAATTCAATATCACATAATAAGAAAAATAATCAAATCTTAATATTAAACATTTATTTAAAATGATAATTTGGAATTAGATTCACGGTAAGCACTCATTTAATATTTAAATATTCCACGGGGATCAGGATCCATAGCGAACTCGTTCTTACTTTCAACATTTTTAGAATAGTCATTATACATGATAATTTAACTTTTCTCTAATTCAACTTTATTGACATATTTATCATCTTCAATCATTTTTTTCTTTCTTCCTATGTTTTTATTAATTAAAAAAAATATATATATTTTAAAAAATGAGACTTTCAATCGACATCTAGACTGTCTCTCCTCATTCTCGCAATCACACTTGCACTTATAAAGAGCTCATAAGCTTTCTCTTGACCATGACTCGCTTGACCATGATTCTTGTTTGACCAAAAACACACTCGACATTACCCTTGCTCAGCTAATATCGCATAGCCAAATGCAGCTGGGATGCTTGACTTAATGCTGGAGTTGATGCAGCTGACCTAATGGAATATATATTAGATATAAAGTAAGATACATAAATATAATATAATTTATTAGATGTAATCTAAAATATATTAGATGCATAATATATTAATAGGATTATTCTTTACATTAACTCACTAAGGCACACACTTTATTTTAAGAAGGCACGCACCTCAGTATCCACATTGAGGTGCAAGTCTCGAGGCATTTTTTTATGCACCTTAGATTGAGACCATCTCGAGATGTGCATTTTGATAGACTTTTAAAACCATGAATACGACAATGCTTACCAAAAATCTTAATTCGACTTTTTGGAAGAAACTAGGTTTTCTTGATAATAAAAAAGGCCCGATTATTATAATTTATTAGTTTCTCATTTTAGTCTTATATGTTTTTATTTTGTTTCTGGTTGGAGTTTTTCGCCTGCAATTCAAATTGGAAAAAAAATTCAGTTTTGAGTCTTGTACACTTCCATGTATTCATACTCTTAATAAAAAGGAATGAGCCATGATGCAAACCTTCAATATGGTATAAGAACTTAGATCCAATACACCTATCCCTCTCTTTCTCCCATGTTCAATCTCTTACCCTAGAAACATTGATTCCACCTCTACACAGACTAGTTAGCATTCTACGCACACTCGCTAGTGCGATCCTACACCAAATTGCAATAGCCTTCCTGATCGCAAACCACCCATTGGCTTCCATTGTGCAACTCCAGTAGCAAGCCCACTCCATGCATGCTTCCCGCACCCTTATTTGCCATAACCCTTTGCCACACATTCAAATGTTCCTCCTAGTTTATCATCTCTCTCACATGCTCTATAAATCCTTTTAATCACGAACATTCGAGGATACCCAATGCTGCAGTTCTTTCATATGTATTCCACTAGACAACAACCTATATGAATTGCATTACCAATCCACACCCTAGTATGTCACTAACATCAAATATTTCTCAACAAGCATTACCATCACCTCTTTGCCACCTAAAAATCAACAGCCGCAAATTATTTATTTGTTTACTCATCTCCTTGCTTCTATATTGCCTATTGTCAAGAAAGTGATATTCAAGCTCACAGGTTCTAGCTATACCTTCTTTTCAACTATTTTTCTCTTAACTCACCATTGATTTCTACTCAACAACGCCTCACTCCAAGGAGTCTCACCTACTTACCTTGCGGCAACCACATGCCTATTATATTACCATCAACATTTTGACACTCCCATTGAAGTGCTTGAAACTTATACTTTTCACTATAAACTCTATTTATACTTTGTATATCAGCTTTGATGAATTTATGAGTGGAGATGGCATGAGTTTACCATTGGTTTCACCTCTTTGCTCTCTGCATTTTATAAATTTTTCTTAAACAATATTCATTATCTTATTGCTTTTAATTTGTAGGTAGGATTTATGTGCAAGGGCAATCCTTTAATTGGAATGAATGGCTAGCCAATCTGACGCGTGCATCCCACCTTCAATGCGGGACTATGTGGGAGTCGTGTCATGTGACCTTGGACGACGTGAACGTCATGTCTGAACTGGGAACCGAGCACAGTTTTTGCCTGCTAGGGCTGAACTGGGTTCAACATAGAAGAGGGAGGACTGACCGACCCTATTTGGACGGTGTTCTTTGATTCGAGGAGTGGGGGCCACTCCTTAGTTACCCAATTTATATATGTTATTGTTTTTGTGCTTTGGATTAGTTTTCGTGAATTTTCTGTCGGGACAGCTGGTGCCGCCTTCAAGTTTTTTTCTTCTAGGACTGTATCCAAGAGCGAGTGGTGTTTTGGCTGTACCTTGTTCCGAGGTGGTGATTGTTCTTCAAAAGCCGAGTGGTATCTTGCTCTCGAGGTGGTTATCGTCATAAACTTTCTTTTTCTCCACATCCTCGCTTCATTGCCAACCATAATTCCTCGCTGTAGTCGCCTAGGATAACTGCTGTTGCTATTTTTTTCCTGCAATTCTCTTCATTCTAGCCACCACCCTTCCAAAGTCCCTACTGTTCTCCTTTTGAATCAGCTGTCAACCCACCCCTTGGCTGTTTCCGACAACTCATAGCCTTCCAGTCGCCCCTACCATCCCCCGCCACCGCCTACCCTGCAGTCCAACCACCCCAATCCTTATCTCCCCTTCCAGGCACTAGCCAACCCTGCACAACCACCCAACAACACCTATTTTCCCCACTTTTTGGCCTGCTGTTCTGGTCTCCACCTCTTTCGCTTTGCTGCCGTCATCCGGAAAACAATAACCTGTTCGTTTTTGGCTCTTCCAGCTTACCGATGCTAGTTGCCAACTGACGCAACCATTGCCTTCCAACCACCATCCAATCATTTCACCCGCCTATCATCACTTCCTAACCCGCCTAACCGACCACCATTTTTTTGTAATGCTACACTAATTGAGTTGTGTGTCGTGTCATTGTTATTTACTATTTCACCGTGTTGGTTATAACCACCAATTGGCTTTTTCGGTAATAATATTTACTTATTATTGTTTGGTTTAACTCTGGTATTACAATCACTTCCACTTTCTCTTTGTCCAATGTCAAGAATTCTTTATATGGCGTCATGAATTATGCCGCCCATCAATCTCAGTACTCAAAACATATTGTTTATGCTTACTTTAGATTTATTATCATCATCAATTCTGTACTGCAATTTATGGAAATACTATAATAATCATAAATTTTTGTATCTTCATAGCCTCTTGAAATACTATTTCAGATGTGGACCTTACATATACAATCCTATGATAGTTTCAAATATATGTTATATTGTTGATCACTTTACCTTAATCATTTGGCATCACTCACGCAAACATCTCATATTTATTATGTCTTTATAAGTTTCAAAGCCTCAATAGAAAATTGTTCACAAAATCTTCACCCTACACTTTACATTGATGATGATTATTAAACCTTTTACACATTCTTGTTCACTAATAATATCTCTAATCTCACTACCCATTGCACATACCTAAACACGGGGGATACTCTAAAAGATGCCATCAGCATATTGTTGAAACTAGTCTCTCTTTCTTATCTCATGCGTTCATTCAAAATTTCTATTGGATGCATGCTTTTGCCATGATAGTCTATCTCATAAACTACTTACTTACCCTAACACTTCATCTCTTCTCTCCATAAGAATAATTTTTTTGGCTCATCTCCTAAGTATTCCTTACTTCCTATGATCAACTACCCTTGCTACTGATGGTTTTACCCACAAACCACTAATAAAATTAAATCTCACTTGAAATCTTGTCTTTTTCAGCTAGCAGCTCACTGAAGGTCCCTATATAAATCTCAGCACCACCACATGTAAATCTGTGTATCTTGTCATCTACAATTTGTTAAGTTAACCTTTTGCTCTTAATCTCTTCCCCCTCTCGTGACACACTTGAAGAAACAATCTTCTCGTGGTGTTCTCTTGCTATGTCCCTATCATTCTTTTGAGCAAGCTTCTAGACGAGAACGTCCACATCACCATTCTCTGTAACATCATCATATGCATCCTCCACCCTAATGACCAACCAAAACTCCGCCATCCTACACAACAAACTCGAGACACTCATCCTTAACAATAACAACCCAACCTCCTCCAACTTCAGTAACACCTTCGATGACATTCAAGCCAAAAAAAAAAAAAGCCCAAAAAAGTCACTCTCACAATTAAACTAAATGAATCGCATTACCGTGAACCTGCCACCATAACTTGAAGGGCTCAAAGATCATAACTATCATAAGGCTATGCCAGATGAAGGGATGGAATAGTTTCTGAATCTGTTCCCTTATGTCCAGTAAAAACTGGTTTGGGGCTAGTGAAAATTTCAATAAACTTTTCATCAACAATGTCGTTCTCTATGGCCATCTTCTTGAGGAATCTTCTTGGTTTAAGGTTTTGTTGACATCAACCACCTCACTTGTGTGTAAGCTTCTCAAAGCATTCTATAGATGCAAGAAAGCACCACTTGTTGGTACCATGAGCTATGACAATTGCTTTGTGCTTTTGGCTTAACGAACTCTGTATCTGATTAATCTTTTTTCATTCTTAACAATTGTGATGCACTTGCTTATCTTTTATTTTATGTTGATAACATTATTATTTTAGAAAACTATGACACTGTCGTGTAACACTTTGTCACTTTTCTGCGGAATGATTTTTTAATAAGGATCTTGGACCATTGTACTATTTTCTTGGTGTTGAAGTTATCTCACACCCTCATGGATTTCTCTTATCTCAACATTGATATCACGTTGATTTCCTTGCTCACACTAAGATGATGGATGCCATTCCTACAATGACACCACTTGTTATTTCATGAATGTCCACTTTTCATTTTGGCTTTGTGCTTACTGATCCGCTAATTGGAGAGCCGTTGTGGCCTCAAACAAAACTTTCGCAGTTATTGAACTGTTTTAATTTATGCACTACCCCACTACTGATCACTGGAATGTAGCAAAATGATTAATTTGTTTTCAAAGCAACATTATCGATTATAACATTCTTTTTGGTAATGACTTACCACCTCAACTTCATGTATTATCTTATATTGACTTTGCAGGTAACAAAGATGACTTCACCTCTATTTTCTGTATTTTAGTCAAAACTCCATCTCTTGGAGTGCCAAGAAACAAAGTAATGTAACTTGCTCCTCCATTAAGGTTGAATTTGCTATATTGCCCCCACAACTGTTGAGCTTCACTGGGCTTTTTCCCCACTCACCAAACTTGGCGTCCACCTTCATCACTCTCCCAACGATCTGTTGTGGCATTATGAGCGCCACTCATTTTGTTGCAAATCTCGTACACCACTCAAGCAAGAAATATGTGGCTATTTATTATCATTTTATTCCGAAATAATCAAAATCGTATGGCTCAAGGATTTAATGCATAATTATTGTAATTAATTAGTCTCTTATTTTAATCTTAGTGTTTAATCAATTTCCTACTGGACTTTTTTGCCTACAGTTTGGAAATCTTTTTTCTACCACCTTATGCACTTTTATATATTCATGGTATCTAAATTAGAGGACTGAGCCATTGTCCAAAAATTCAATTTCATGGCATAAAGATTGATTTCTCATCTAGAAATTTTTGTGGGGATGGTCTCCGTTTTTTGTTTGAATGCACAATCAAGCTATTTGGTCAAATTGTTCTTCAGGCACAAGAATGTCAGCAGTGGAGCTTGATGCATCTTTTGTAGTAAAAGTGAGTCAAGTATTGCCGCTTAACTTCTAATATTATTTTGAAAATAAACAACAGCGCTTCAAAACCATAAATATTTCTTACTAATTGAGCATGAATGCAGAAGAAGGCTGTTGAGGTTTCCAATGAACTGAAAGGCACATCCATATTTCTCGTTGGTATGATCTACGTTCAGAACTCTTGTAGTAAATTCATTTGTAGCAGATTTTTTACTTTTGTAGTAAATTCATTTGGGAAGCTCATCAACTTCCATTTCCTGCCCTAACTCTTCCTAATCCTTTTTTATTTATATGAGATCCTCGCTGTATTGCTTCTTCATTTAATCTTCTGTCAAAGTGGCACTATTTCATCTTATAATTACCTACTTTGTAGATATATATATATATATATTCCTCAATCACCATTGTTGGGTCATCTCGTACTTAATGTTATTGATAAAATATTCCTCAATCACCATTGTTGCTCAATCACCATTGTTGGGTCATCTCGTACTTAATGTTATTGATAAAATACTACAAGTTTTGAGCTACAATACAATCTTAATTTTTATAAATGATGGATGCACAGGGATGAACTGCACAATGAAAACCAACTTGGGGAAGGTTTTAGCTGACGCATTGAAATATTACTACTTTGATAGGTTGAAATCTGTTCTTATTTCTTCAAAAAAGCATCGCCCCCCCTTCTTATCCATGTACAATATTTGTTTTGCTTTATATTTTCTATTTTTTCTTTTGTGCAGTGATAGTGTGGTTGAACAAGCTACTAATGGCGACTCTTCTGCTAAATCTTTTCAAGAGAGAAATGACGAGAAGTTTCGAGAATCTGAAGTATTTTTGAGAAATTTCTTCATAATCCATTTTGAAAATTGCTTTTGTGGATAATTCTTACGCAATATATTGTGGCTTGTCAGACTGAAGTTCTAAAGCAGCTGTCTGCTATGGGTCGTGTGGTTGTCTGTGTAGGGGATGGTGCCTTGCAAAGCTCAACAAATCTGTAAGTTGAGAGGCATCTTATTTACCTTTCATTTTTCTAGTAATAAATCTGGAAGTCCAATTGTTTCTTTGATTTTAAGCATTTAATAGCTCATGTAGATTTTCATAACCCGTTAACTTGAAGGGCTTTCTTGAGGGATGGCATATCACTATGGATTGACGTTCCCCTAGACATACTAGCAAATGAAATATTGATGGCTGGAGGCTCCTCTTCTGAATTGGAAATTCCATCAGATGATGATTATTTCTTAGAAGTAAAACTACTCATTCTGCTCTTCAAGTTATTGTAATATTTATTTTTTGAAGATTTACATACATACTACTCAATTCCTATTTATTTAAGTATCTAACACCTAAGCTTCAACTTTTACACACATTCTACCTTATAAAATGGTGTACTTCATTTTTTTAAAGTTAAAATGGTGATATTTTTGATGTGATATGAAAGATTTGGGCGGCCTAAATGCGAAAGGTAAAGTTTAGGTGCTAAGTATGCAAATCAAAGGAATTGGGTGGTATGTATGTAAGTGCCCCTTTTTTTGTTCTACTATTCATGGGTAAATGTCATAATAGGCATGTTTTTTCTAGAGATGGTTGTGCCTTAACCCTATACAGAACTTTTTCTTATGTTTTCTTGGTGGGCCATCAAAGTTCCATCTTCAGTGAAAACTTAACGAAAGTATTATTGGTTTGACATTACTCATTCCTCAAGTAACTATAAAATTACTGATTATACTTCAGTCTTAAAGCCATCTTAAAAACTTGAACAACTTGTAGAACCACTTTTTATTAGAATCCAGTATTATATAGAATTTTTGTTGGAGTAGTGTAAATTAAGATCATTTCCCCTTCACCAAAAAGAGTAAAGAAACCAGTGCCAATCTTCATGTGATTTTCTTCGATTCTGTATTTTGAATGGGAATTAAAACTTGGTGAAACAGAACAGCCAAAGGAAAATAACTAATAAATATTTTTCTTCCGTTGAAATTGGCTGTTTTGCTTTAGCTTCTCGTAACTGTTCTGGCCATGATACAGATGGAGAATCTTACTACGCGTTACAATGAATTGAAAGGTGGATATGGAACAGCTGATGCTACGGTGTCACTCCTAAGTAAATTTAGAGTAGTCTCATCAAATTATGTGTCTCCCTGGATAATTAAGAAGCACTAACTAATACTTGATTTCTTGTAGAGGTTGCTTCTCAACTTGACTATGAGCACTTCAACTCAGTTAGTCCAGACGACATTGCAGTGCAGGTAAATGAAGATAATTAACACAAGAGAATTTTTGATGTTTGAGGAACCAAGAAAATATTCTAGCGTTAAATAACATTATGCTTCATTTGATTTCATAACTGAATATTTGTCATGGTTTAGGCTTTGAAAGAAATAGAGAGGCTGACTAGGTTGAAGAAGATGATGGAAGAAGCAGCAAGACCATTTTAATTTCTGGAACATGTTGGTTCAGGGCATGTGCTCAATGAAGCAGTGCAGCTTCTAACAAAAAATATTGCTAAATTGGGGCCATCAGTCTTTATTTGCAGGTAGAAATACGTTTCTTTTTTAGGCAGTGTACTACTGAAACACTTACAAGCTGTACCAGTACGGTACATCAGATCATTTCTGTAGTTTCTCTTGTATAGTTTGAATTTCACTACATACATACATACATACATACATACATACATACATACATACATACATACATACATACATACATACATACGATATATATATAGATATATATATATATATATATATTTGCTCTTCATAATACATGCGTAAGATTCCATCCAATTATAGCTTAAATTGCATATTAACATGAGTTTTCTGTATTAGGTTACGCCCATTTTCCATGTTGAATTGCTTTTATATTGTCTGTCTCATGATTGTTAATGCATGGGTCTTCTTGGTGACTAAACAATCACTATAGGTCATGTAGAGCATTGCATGTGTCATTTTGGAGGGGCTTTTGCTGAAAATCTTCAGGTATGGTCTAACTCTCCTTGTTAATAATCTCTCTGCATTGTTCTTGTATTTTTATAAGAAATAAAAAGATTTTCTTGTTTTGTTGGAGAATTTGGGCGTCTTCTTTATGGTTAGATTAGATGTACTTAAGTTCAAGGTAGAATGTTCTCTTGTGTCTTATTTATTTGTATAATGTTGTGGTTCTTGGCAGTGGATCCTCTTGGATAAGATTATTGCAAAACAACATTAACGTTCTTGTTTTTTGTGGAGCCCTTTTCTTCATTTTTATTTTGTGTGTACATCCAATTCAATTCTCATAGACTATGTCATGCAATAAAGTGATTATTTCTAATAGTTCATAGAAAACCAATCTTCTTGTTTTAAACGAACTTACGCAAGAGTTTTAGAAGAATTAGATGGCAGCAATGTATGCATCGAAAAGTTTGGTGACTAGTGTTCTTGGTTTTGAAGAGAAAAAGTATGAGGTGCGCTAGTTTGTTATAGTTTGACAAGAACATCTTGAAGCACTCATGAAGCATTCAAATATGCCCAAGGTAGGTAGAAGGCAGGATAGATGGATAAAAAAATCCCTTCGACAATCCAAATATGTATTGCAAACATGGTTGTGATTTTAGTTGGATCATAAAAAAAATTCTCTTTAACAAAATTTATCTGACGTGGATATGTTTTTGCTTCCCATTCAAGGATATATGCTTATAGATTATATTCTAATGCATTAATTTCATGATTAGTGATTTGAGGAACATTCTGATTGATGATTCTGATCAACCTTTATTTGCTATTTACTTCCCTCATATAAGCGTTTTGTGGCACTATATATGAGATATGCCATCCAAGCAAGGACATTTAATCTCTTTCTCAGAGAAAGACTGGAGTCTTACTCTAGAAGTTATGCCATCCAAGCAAAACAACATTAACCATACAAACTCATTATTAACAGTGGTAATCTGGTTAGGATGAAGACCACCACTGAACCATATCCATAATTTTACAGGGCTGATTGGTTTGACAAGACAAACATGTATCTCACCCAAAGATATATTGTTTTTCTATACTTAGTCATATATTATGATCATATTTGGTGTGCTTTCTTCCTCATAGATGTTGCCGTGTACTTGTAGGTAAACCGCGACTATATTAGTTGAATGTTAGTCACTTCTGACAGTCCAAAATTTTTATCTTAAAATTTGGAGCCAAGAAAATTATTTTGAATCACTTCATATGTTAGTTGATGAGAGTTTTAAGAGTAATAGTAGTGATAGTATAATCTCCGTTCTTATTACCTAGAATACTCCATGATAAGTTTTTATGAGTCCCTTGCCATCCTATTTGAGGTTAATCAACTCATTAACTAATTTAACTCCATCTAATTGGAATCCAACATGCATGTAATTTAGTATGTGAACCAGCCTTACCCAACAATAACAACAACAAAAAGCCTTTACCCATTAAGTGGGGTCGGCTACGTGAATTCTTTTTTCTCCAATGTGTCCTATTGAGTGTTATATTTTCATTTAATTATAATAAATTATTATAATTTTTTATACAACATGCCCAAGTCTTTTTAGGTCTACCTCTATCTTTATTAACACAAGTCAAATCTCAAATATCTACTCTTATAACCGGATCATTAGATGACCGGTGTTTAATATGTCCAAACCATCTCAAACGACTCTCTTTAATTTTGTTTGTCACTGGAGTTACATCAACCCTTTTACGGATACATTCGTTTCGCATTTTGTCTCTAAATGTCAAACCGCACGTCCACCTAAGCATTCTTATCTCATCAACACTTAACTTAGTTTTATGCTTCTCTTTTATAGGCCAATATGCGCCATAAAGCATTGCAAATCTCACCACAGTTTTATAAAATTTTCTTTTAAGTCTAAGCGGTACTTTTCTTTCACACAATAGGCCCAATGCATTCCTCCGCTTCAACCATCCAATCTTAATTCTACTACACGTGATATCTAATATGTTCACTCCTTTTAATGATTTAATCACTCATTGTTGTATTTCAACCATTAGATCTACTACTACTAAAATTACATTTCATATATTCAGTTTTAGATCTACTCAAATCAAGGCCTTTAGACTCTAATGCATATCTCTATAATGCGATTATTTCCTGAACTCTTTCTCTATTTTTATCCACATAAAGGATATCATCAGTGAAAAACATACACAAAGGTACATCCTCTTCTGTCATGTCCAGTAAGAGCATCCATAACTAAAGCACTTAAAGTCAATCCTTGATGTAATCCAACTGAAATAGAAAAATGCTTGGTCAATCCTCATTCTGTTTGAACACAAGTAACAATTCTAAAATATAAAACCGACGTGAATACAAGTCATATTAACACCTTTATTTTCTAGAACTCTCCGAAGAACTTCTCTTGGAACCTTATCATAAGGTTTTTCGAAATCATTAAAAATCATATGTAGATTCTCCTTATTTTCTCTGAACTGTTCCATCAAACCACTTAATAAATGCATAGCTTCCACAGTAAACTTGCCCGACATAAATCCAAATTGATTATAAGAATTCATTGTATCAAGTATTAACTTATGTTTAATTACTCTCTCCTATAACTTTAATGCATGCCACATCAACTTAATTTCTCTATAATTTGCACACTCTTGTGCATTCTATTTATTCTTAAAAATGGGATCAAAATACTCTTTCTCAACTCCTTATACATCTTTTTACTTTTTACAATATCATTAAAAATTTTAGCAGCCAAAAAACTCTCAAATCTTCTAAATATTTCCACATTTCTATTGGGATATCATCAGGTCTAAAATTTTCACTCTTGGTATTCCTTAAAGCCTCCTCAACTTTCTTTTTACTTATGTGAAGGTAAAAATAGAAAAGTTTTATTATCATTAACAATATTAAGATGACTAAGATTGATCATATTTTAAAAAACTTCATTGAAAAGTTTATCAAAATATTTCACACACCTATGTTGAATATTTTCTTCCAAGGAAAATACTTTTTGATTTTCATCTTTAATGCACTTTACTTGGATTAAATCTTTATTTTTCATTTCTCTTTGTTTGGTTAGTTTATACGTATATCTTTCACCCTCTTTACTAAATAATCTATTATAAATATCACTAAAGACAAAATTATTAGCATCACAAATTATTCTCTTAGACTCCCTACGTGCATCCTTATGTTTTTCTTAGTTCGGCAAGCTTCTACATTTAAACCAGTTTTTATAACAAAATTTTTTATATTTTATCTTTTCATTAACATTATTATTCCACCACCAGCAAGAACACGTTAATAAACCTTATTATTTAATAACCAAATTGAACACATTAAACTCAAATGTTAGTTCAACGATCTATCATGTAAGGGTTTTATTTGTGGGAGTGTGCCCCTTGTGCTATTTAGGATCTTTCTTATCTCCTGTAAAGATCAAATATGATGCCTATGCATTGTTAATATATCCATCAATAAAACTATTATCAAGTATTAATTTCCCATTCCTTAGTTGGATGTCATGCTTGAGAAGATGGCCGAGGTTGTGATATATTCAAAATGAATGTGATGATTGGAATTCCATTTTCAGACAAAAGTATGGCCTTCATGAGTGTAGGGCTATCAATTTGGCTCCTTGTTCGCAAAAAGGTCGTGTTCGGCTCGTTCGCTAAGCTTAACGAGCCAAACCCGAACAAATTTTTAAGCTTGAAATATAAACGAGACGAACACAATCAAACATTTGTTTGCTCGTTTTCGGCTCAAATTGGCTCAAAAAGAAATAAACAAGTAAATATACAGACACACATATAATACATATTCATAAAATTAAATATTATAAATTGTAATTAATTAAAACTTTTTAAAATAAAAAAAAATTATCAAATTTTTAAAAATTAAATCCTATAAATTATAATATATAACAAATTATTAATAAATATTATATATTTATATAAATTAAGTTACATAATTAATATAATATAATATAAAAGTATAAATTTAGGTTCGGCTGTTTCTCCCTCTCCCTCTTCCGAGTTCTGTCTCTTCTACTTCCTCAAAAAATTGCGAGGGTTCGGCTGCTTCTCCCTCTTCCAAAATCCCAAAATCGCGAAAGACGTTGGGCGAGTCGGCGACTCTTCTCCTTCCTCTCAAAATCGCGTAAGGCGTTCGGCGAGTCGACGATGGTCGCGCTCTTTGTCCTCTCAAAATCGCGAAAGGGTTTCGGCGGCGAGAGCTTAGGGTTTGTTGTTTGTCTTCCTCTTCCTCTCTTCTTCCGAGTTCCGAGTCATCTTCCTCTTCCTCTTCCGACTCATCTCCTTGAATTTCGAGCCGAAAAATATTATTCGACCCGAACACGAACACACTCGCTCAGGCTTCTGCTGGTTTACAGCCCTACATGAGTGTTTGGTGACCTTTGGCCTTTGGAGATATCAAAGTGAATTTAACTAATCCACATATATTAAAATTTCTCCACTTCAACATGTTTTTTTCAGATAATTTATGATGCCGTAAGTTTAGGAATAAGTCAAGTTCTTGTTGACCACGAAATAAAAAGAGAGAGAAAGAAAATAAATAAAAATATTAAAATTTAATTAATTAATTGAGTAATTATTAATTGATTAAGTAATTTATTGTTTACCTCTATTTCCGCTGAAGTTTACCTGCTCAAGTGAAGTAACTGTCTCCACTCTTTCTCACATTTACAAAGGAAATAACCAAGCGACTCAGAAGAGGATTGGCACTGTTTATCGTTCGTTTCTCCCCTCTCGTTCTACGTTTGTCGCAACAAGCCGCACTAGGCACGTGCTCTCTTGCGATTCTTCCTCCGCTTCGCCAGTTTCTTCCTGTTCAAAATCTACAGTCGTTTTCAAAAGGCACACGAAGGAACGGTATATCTCTTACCTATTTCAGGAATGCATCTTATTCTTTGATCGTCCGTTTCACTGCAATTCTCCCATCTTTGTCTTCTTCTTCACATGCTTCAACCAGAGCCCCTGTTAGATCCTTTTAAATGCTTATTCTGCATTTTTATTTTATTTTGTGATTGTGTATTGTAATAAGAAAAATATGTTGTGTTTATTTGTTGTCATTGGACTTGAAGGTTCAGAAGGTATAAATTTTTAGGGCAAAAAGGGGTAGTTTTCAGAATATACATTTGAGGAAGCGCGAGTACCTATCCATGGGGAAATTAAATACCGTTCGGGGAAAAATGCGGACTCGTTTGACCTTTTTTTTTTAAAATGGGGATTTTAAAATATCCGCTCATAAGAAAGGGAGTACCCGTTCATGGAGAATTGAGTACCGTTTGTGGAAAATAAAGTACCACTCGAGAAATGTTTGCGAGCTAATCGTTTTGTGCAGGCACATTAAAGACCTGTTGTGTCTTTTAAGATCGCAGGTTAAATTTATACTTTTTGTTCCATGACCGCAGTGTCTCACGAACTAATCAATAGTTGGTAAGGTTGACAATCTTTGGTGCTCCCAAATGGGGGTTGATGTCTGGAGGCTACCAAATTTTTAGTGAATTTTGGATTTGTAAATAAAAAATTTTGGGAATTTTTTTGGACTTACAAAATAAAAATAAAATGTGAATCATTTGAAATTTTAAAAATCAAATTTTTGAGCTTTTGAAATATAGGCTTTTAGGATTTTAATAAATATTTAAAGTTTTGGGCTTTTGAAATATACACTCTTTAGTCTTAAAATTGTTTTAAAACATGGGCTTTTAAATATTTAGGCTCTTAAGGTTTTAAAATTTTTAAAATTCTAAGCTATTAAAAATATAAATTCAAAGTTTAAAAATGTGGATTTTAAAACTTGAGCTCATAAATTTGAAAATATTTTAAGAGATTAAGCTCTTCAAATTAAACTTATTTAGCTTGGAAATCAATTCAAAATTGAATTGTTTAGACTTAAGCTCTAAGGCAAAAAGAAAAAATGAAATTAATCGCCCCGCCATCAGATTCACAACATACTTACTAGCAAACAGAAGACGATCTTTTTCTTTAAAGCATAAAATCATAATGCTCTTGCAAATACTCAAGCTCTAAATGATTTCAAAATCTATATAAAGTCTATGGTTATTTCCTTAGTCGAATGAAATATTTTGAAATGCGAGTTTGCTCTCAAGGCTTAGATGAAGATACTCTTGAGTTGTATATGCTTTATACAAACAAAGCAATTACGCATATTTTTCTAATGCCCGCATGTGCTCCAACCAACCTATAAAATGCTCAAATACTAGATTCGAGAATATTGCATGGGCTAATCGGGCTGCCTTGTTTATAGGGCAAGGGTTGTAAGTCCCACCCCACTAGTCTGATTCTCCTTACAAGAACTGACGTTGACGAGTCTAGTAAGACCTCGTAAATGTCCAAAATTGTGAAATAAGAGTTTACAAGTCTAAATCACTAAATTGTTTTGATCTTCCTCTTTATAAGGATAAGAGTCGACAAGACTTATATTTGAAAAGCTTAAAGTGACAAAATTAATTGCCCCCTTCATATATAAAAAAAGTTTAAAATATTTAATAGCCCAATGATGGTCGAGTTGATAGAAGATTTTAACTAGAAGGGTCAATTTTTTAAATCAATAATATCAAAATAATCAATTAAAATATCCAAGCTAAAATCAATTGCTAAAGTCTTAAAACAAATCTCATCCACATTCCGCAGCAGTTTTTTTAGGGTGATAAATATCTAACCGACTTTAGCTCATAAAGTGTTAATGTCATGTTTAATATATCAATATATTCACAATCAAACCAGTAAGGACGTGGCCCGAGTCCTGTGTCTGTGTCGTTTTGCCGCAAAATGACATAACAAAATAGCAGATACGACCAGAGCAGTTTGAATGGGTGGTTGTCGCCAAATGACACCATTATATTACGGTTAAATCTGAAGCCCATATGTTCCCCAACGACTTTCTGCTCTTTTAAGTTGTAAATCATAAGTGTACGGTTGATTGACACAAAGCCTTTTGTTAGCTAAGACTGATTAAATTTATTCTCTTAGACAAATATCCACCCCAGATCTACAATGATCTCTTGGACGACATAACCCATTGTTTCTGGCAAGAATCTTGTTGTCAAGTTGAGTCGACTACCTCCTCTGACTAAGTAGATCAGGGGCTACGATTGCCCGAGATGACAAAACTACGTGATCTTGACCGAGTTTCGTCTTCATTCCCCCACCATGGGCTTTAAGCTTCAAGTGATGAATTCTATGACTTAAACCTTGTGTTTGATGCTATTATATGTTCAATGACTAGCCTTAATCGAAAGTGCTCTTCTATTATCGTGAGGGATAATTAACCATAGGGGCTTGAGTCTATGGGAAATCTCAAAACTCAAATTAAAAAGTCCTCGCAAAATGAGGGTAAAATCTCTTGGCAGTGTCTTATTTACAATTCAATCTATCTTTTGAAAATTCGACCCTCCAAAGCTCTCTCTCAAAGTTCTTATGCAAGAAGAACATCTAGAAGCCTACTTTAGTAAGAGGACAAATGAGTCCAGGCAAAGATATTTTACCTATGATCATGAATTTTATATTGTAGTGCAAGCTTTTCTCTATTGATGACACTGTCTTTTAATTATCTTGAGAATTTGTGCTCTCTTTAGACCACAAAGCTTTAAAATATTTTAGCTCTCAAAAGAAATTAAGATTGCATCATAAGAAGTGCAATTTAATCAATTTGTGCTCGAACATAAGGCTAACATTGAGAATAAGGCAGTTGGCACAATGAGTCAAATGTCATCACTTCTACACTCAATGAACATAAATTTGTTTGGATTTGCAACAATAATCTTCAATTATCCCCCCAGCTAAGTTTTATTTAGATATATGCGTTCTCATCTAAAAAAGAAAATCTTTTATCCATTCAGATTATCAAAAGGCGATATGAACCTCTTTTTTAAGGTACTCCTTTGCATCCTTGATTCCTCAGCCTTGACTCTCTTACTGAGAAAAAGTGCCATTCAAATGGAATACCCAAACACTTTGGATGAGATAAGTCTATTGTTATAGTCAAAGACTTTCTCTTGGTTTAGTCTCAAGAGAGACATTGCACATGTTATTACTCGATGCCGTATTTGTCAACTAGCAAATGATAGTCAGAAAAATTTGATCTTTATATTGCTCTCCCCATACCACACAAATCATGAGAAGATCTAAATATGGAATTTGTCATTCGGTTTCCTGATATTGTGCTTAGACATGATTAGATATTAATAATGACGGTCCATCTATTAAAAATGATACCAAATATCACATGCATCTTACATTGTTTCTCCATTATTTAATAAGGTTGTAAGTTTAGTCTTAATGCCTATAAGACTATATTATCTGACTGGGATGCTTCATTTATTAGTTATTTTTTGGAAGATATTATGGAAGAAGTTGAGCTCAAAATTGCCCTTTTTTGATTCTTTGGTCATACTAGCCTCAAAGCAATGTTCAAATTGAGATTGTCAATAGAAGCTTAGGCGAATTTCTTAGTTGCCTCACGAGGTCTCTGATATTTGAGGACCCTTGAATGACAGTTGAGTTAACTATAAATAGGTCTCAGAGCAATATGATTTTGGGGACAATTTAGTGTTCGGCTCAAAATTGGATAGAACATGTACAAATCAACTCTCGGCTCGATTGATTCAATTGCAAGCAGGTTTGGTTCAAATCAAGTCAGTTTCAAAACAATTTGAAATGATCTATTTATTTTTAAAAATTATTTAATATGCATATGCACACGCATGTATATGTATATATTAAATTATACAACATCAAATAAAATGTAAATTTGAGCTTATTTTGAGTTGGCCCGATTCGATCAAAGCCCTACTCGGAGTAGTCTCTAAGATCGGATCCAACCAAAAATCGGGCTTATATATTAGAATAGGTTGGCTCCATCCAAGCAAGGAATTAATACAATCTTTATGCTAAAATCTCAGCCTTCCTTTTAATAATTGTGCCCCGAATTACTTAAGAGTACTAAAACTTTCATTTGTCATAATCAAATTCTTCGAAGCCATGGAGTATTGATATTAGAGTTTTACAATCATTATCATCATCGTTGTAGCCTTCTTTTAGTTTAGATTTTGTGTACCTGGAGCATTCAAAGTTACACTTTCCATATTGATTGTATTTTACTTTATCCTAAATTTCTTGTTTTTGGACGTTTGTGATTGCCTTATCTTTGATTTATATTGCATTTTTGGTCTCCATGTTGGAGCATTTTCTTCATCGTAGGCCATGTTAGACCTTTTATGTTACTGTTTTTTTTTAATGGTTTATATTACTGCTTTATTAGGTTTGAGTATGTATTTAGGGGCGATTACACACATCCCACTCGAAACTTGGTATTTACAAATCTACCATCCTCGTTCATCCAATTTTCAAATTCTCTCTTAAATATCAAAATTTAGGTAAAATCCCAGCCCATATTTTTTGTTTTTATCGAATTCTCGATAGCTTGATCGTGGCACGCGAATACTTCGGCTCGACAGTTCAAAAAAATCATCTGAGTGGTTAATTTGTAAATATCAATGTTTCAGGCGGTCTGTATGTATTACTGGTTTTGATATCATACTTTTATTTTTATAAATATAGAATGTCTCATAATGATATTTAAAAATGTTGAAATAAATGATGAAATGAAGGTTTAAGTTTCTGCAATTTTGTGCTTGTATGCTTTAGTTGCTAAAAAGGACTTTTTAGTAATTGCTGACTTTAAGGACTATAATATTATAATGACAAAGGATTACTTGTAGCGACCTTTTGGTTTTTAAAAATCATTCTTATTTAGGTACTGTCTATTTGAAAAAATTATCACGTCGACTTTTATTATTGAACACCTGATGCAAATTTATATTAAGTGTCCTGATGCAATGATTTCTTCTGTCTATTTTCTTTGATCTCCATTTTAGTCTGTATTCTCATGGTTAGCTTATGTTCGAGTCAAATTCTATTAATATGAAAACCTTTATTCACAAATCATTTTATTTTTGCAATATTTACATACATACCATGCAATTCCTGTGTATTTATATAACGAACACCTGTACTTCAATTTTTACTTGCATACTGCCTTATCTATGCACTAAAAGGTGTATTTCACTAAGTCCAAATAGTAATAATTT